CGGGGTCTCTGTTTAAGTTTGAACTTTTAGAGATTGCCTTTTTATTCGGAGATTTTTTTTTGCTTGTCAATTATCTCTGCATGCCCTACCCCCCCCCCCCCCCACCCACCCACCCAACACTCATTAGGAAATTGACGCTATAGACCCTGAGCCAGTCTCATCGAGTATATCAATAGTATGGCGCACTTTCTGTTACCATTTTTATGGTTCGTTGTTGCCGGAAAGTTTTATACTTATTTTCCCAGGTGATACATACATTTTTTTTTCATAGAGAGAGAGAGAAAGAGAGAAAGCTCAGTGCACATATATACGCGGTTTTTATTTATATTATAAGTGATTCTGTGTTCTGAATAACACCTTATAAAATGTGTAAACCATTTGATTTTAATCCCAAGTCAATCATTTTAACTACAGTGCTTGCGTACTCCTAAACTGACGTCATAATTTAACGTCAACGTAAGAAATATGACGTCAAATTTAGTCCAGTACCTATAAGATAAGATTTATTGATCCCAATTTGGGGCCCCTCAGGGCATACAAGTCAAGAATTATATACACAAGAAGAAATTCAAAATTGATAGTAACAACATGTCGATATTAAGAGAAAAGAAAAGAAACTAACTAAAGAAGATGATGATGATTATAGCAGATGGGGATTACCAATAATAAATGCTTTAAAAAATATATATATATACATATATATAATTAGCAAACGTACAAAGATTTGTAACATGTATATTTGTACTAGAGTATTAATAATTTAATATTACTCTTTTGCATTTATTTGGTTCTTTTTAACATTATATAATTCACTATTTCTTAGTACCTATATAAAAATAAAGACCTATACTTGTGTCAAAATATAGATATTATTGTGTTTAATTACACGTAAGGTTTAAAGTGAATAAAAGAAAAATGAAAACAATTATTGAAAAACGACATTTTTGTCGGTTTGGCGTTGACACAGTAAACGACATTTATGTCGCTTTGGCGTCGAAAGGGTTAACTGAGAGGAGTTATTCCCCTTTGCTATTTACTTTTGATAATTAACGTTACAAATTCTCTTCTGTTGATATTGATATATCATATTTACACTACGTCATGTTCTGTAATTTCGAGATTCCACTTAGCCTATGAAGAGAGTCGAGTAGAGCAGGAGAGTTTCAAACATAAAATGGATATTGCTTACCTGCATCGCCTTAAACAAAAAAATTAAAAACGTGTTTGACGTATTATTTTCAATTCTTGCTTGAGACATAATTATATATGTACATTTCATTGCACCGAAGTATGAAAAGCCTTAAGATGTCAGATTAGCTGATGTAACGGAGGAAGATGACTGCGTAAAAATATATTCCAGTCTTTCAAAATCTTCAGTTTCAATTTCAGATTTCGTCAAAATTGTAATGCAGCTGTATCTCACTTTGCTCAGAAAAGTCCAGCTATGTTAAATATGCATAATATAGAAAAGCTCCAAGAGCAGAACAACCATCTCTTTGATCAAACTCTACTTAAAAAAAAATAATAATTTTAGAACTTTCCGTAAATCTGAGTTGGAAACCAGACAATAAAATCTCTCGCGAGATTTTTTTTAATTCCAGGAATCCAGAAAGGTCATTATTTCAGATCAAGCGCAATGCTACAAGGAATTCTATTTTTCCTAGGATTGAAATTTCGAACTTTAGTAAGCTTAAACATGACACGTGACTGACGGCTATATTTCTATGTCCAGCAGGTGATAGTAAGTATATGGCAATATGATCGCGAATTTCCAATTCATTCCGACATTAAGACCGCGGAACATTTACTGTCAAGGTTTGGAAATACATGTATGCAGATTACGTCATTTTCATCTATTAGAGTCAAAACATTTGAGCGGGTAATTATAATAATTCAGCGCGGGCGTCTGGATTAAAATTCTAGTTCGAAATTCATTTTAAATTCACCTCAGCTACTCTTGTACGCACAGTGTTAGTGATAGATATAGAAGATAAATAATGCCAATTTCGAAATAATTAATATAATATATTAATATATATTATGTAATAATTATATTATATAATAATATATAAATCAGAGTTTTCTGTCCAATGTTTTTTGTTTAAAAGAAATAATAAGAGGACGAACATTTGTTTCTTGAGAAGGGGGGGGGGGTTAGATCTTAGAAATAAGCAGAAAGTTTTTGAGTTTGGACAGCCCATATCAGTGTCGTCTCGATCATCAAATATTTTAAGTGTAACAGATGGAAATGACTCAAATGAGGTACATGTAAGCTGTATATTTCCAATCTTGCCAGTTAATGTCGTGCGGTCTTAGAAATCTATTTTAAAGAAACCAATTTCCTTAGTGTTTCATTTGAGATTACAGTTTCGGCCCTTTTAAGATATGATGTACGATTGCTGTGTCCAAGTGATAAGCGTCGATGATCGAGAGCACAGGTTAAAAAAAAAAACAGAAGACAGCTTTTGATATAACCTGATTTACTTGGGAAAAACTAAAAAATTGACAAATAGTTTCAATTTTCATGTATATGAAATAAACTTTCACAATCTTTTGAATCATTATGTGCCTCTTTTTTATGTTTGTATTCCATACCTTGGAAGAAATTGATTTGTATGAACAACATGGTCGTAGGAACCCCCAATAATTGTGCCGATATTATAGTATCCCAACTGAAAATGTATGCTCCCCCCCCCCCCAATGAAAATGCTTCCTACGGCCCTGAATAATAAAAACTTATTTAAAAATATTCTATCAACGTATTTTTAAAAAAAATTATATTAAAAAAATCCGCTTGGAAGTAGAAAAACAGACTTTTATAATTACTTTTTATGAACGGAATAAACTTAACCAAAAAAACAAACAAACAAACAACTACCGTATTTTACACATCATGCATCTGAATCAATTTCCCGTTAGAATTCATCGGTGATACAGAAAATACTTGGAGTGTTATTATCTTCTCTTTTAAACAAAGTTGGAGGGGGAAAAAGTAAGGCGCTTGTGGATGTGGGTGGGTGGATGGTAGAGTGAATGCGTGCTTTTAACCGAAAGTAAAAATTTTTTTAATATCGAGATCGATTTGCTTTTTTGCGAGGGGATGGCCCACTTTACGCGCAGACCCCTTGTTTGGGTTGGATTTCTTTTTTTTCTCTATGGGGTATCTGCGATTTTTTTTTTGGGGGGGGGGGGGTTTAATGTTTCAAGTGCGCCTGCTTTATATCCATTTTTAATTGGGTTAGATTATAAAATATAAAAAGAATATTTTGTGTGAAATTGTTATATTTTTCGACTGAATATAAACCGTTCCCAGATCCTAAATGTCTAGATCCCCCTCCTCCTTAATTAATGGGTCTGCCTCTTAAAGTGTGAACTAAGGCGTCTTTTCTTAGGAATAATTACATACTAGCAGCTTAGAAAAAGATATCAAATATTTTCTCAAGTTTTTATGTGTCAAAACGATTAGGATTATTAAATAATTTTAAGAATGTTTAGAAAGTGAACTTGAATTGCTGAACGCGACATCAGTACGTTTTCTGTGACTAACGTCAACGTTGTTTTAAAGTGCCTTTCTAAAATGCGTATGAAATACTGAAAAAATCAGATATTTTTAAAAGTTATATATATTTGCACTCAGAAAGGGCCAGGCTATTTAAGGGCCCCTTTTCTCGTGACGGCAGTCATACATTTATAACATTTAGTAAAAATACTATTTGAAAAAGACTAAACGTCGCTTTTGGTATACATGTATGTAAAGAATTTCCTTGTGAATTCTAGCTACAGGATATATATAATATCTGCTAAATTTACTTTATGGGGATTAAAAATTATTGGAATGAATATGACTATATTATGCGCATTTTCCTTGAAAACTATGAACATCCTATTACCTTGCTTAAACAGGTGCTTGTTTCATTATCAATTTGACGCTTTTTTCTGAAGCAAATTATTTTACGTCTCAGTTGACGTCATAGTACGGCATTCATGACGTTATAAACGTAACTATATTCGGCGTCGAAAGGGTTAACTGAGAGGAGTTATTCCCCTTTGCTATTTACTTTTGATAATTAACGTTACAAATTCTCTTCTGTTGATATTGATATATCATATTTACACTACGTACGTGCAATGTTTGATGGAATTCAGCACTTAATATTTATAATGTTTAAAAGAAATTGAAATGCAACATTTGATTTAATTTTCTTGCCTTTTAGGATGTATTTATAATTCCGGTCAAAAATTGTAATAAAAAATCGTAAGAGTTAGTACGACATGTAAAAATAAACCCAAATTACAAAGCTATTAGTTAAGTTTTAATTTCTTGCATAACACACAAGAGTGTCGAATCGTTCTGATATGGTGAACCTATATGATGTTATTTCTGATGTATAACGTTACACTGTGTCATGAAGCTGGAGGCTATTTATAGTATGATCTCAAAATTTGATGCATAAAAATTAAGTGATAATATTCAAGCAATATATATATATGTGTGTGAATGAAATATTATTTTTAATAATCAGGATCGACTTCTGCGAGATGAGATCCACCCATGGACCGATCTTATTTATCTATGTTACGAACATTCTGATTGGGTATTACAGAAAAAATTTTCCATCTTCATAACATGAATTACAATGAGAAAGTTGACTTCAGGAAATATATAATTGAGTAATTAAAAAATTAAAACTACATTGAATGTAAGTAAGGCAAATTTAGTTCAAGAAAATTGAATAGAACATTTAATCCATTAAAACAAAATTTTAATACCCAAAAAATCAACATCCAATCAAACAAAGCGAACTATGCGTTGAGAACCCACGGAAATTAATTACATTTAGTATTTGGAATAAATTCCAAAATGCAAAGTAAAAAATATATCGATTAAATGTAACGTTTACAATAGCTGAATATTTTCTCATAGTCTTTTGGATTTCATTATATACAAAGACCTTCGAAAAATTTAAAATGTCGTTTATTTACGGATATTTCCGAAGTTTTACGAATATGGCGGTTATGTTCCAGTTTCAACCGGTTGAGGAAATTTCGATGCTTTACTTAAAAAGTTGGGTGTATGTCAGTGGAAAAGTTCTTCGAGGTAAGACTACTTGTCTGTAGATTATTGTAGTCATTCAAAGCTGAAATGACACATAAAAGCGTATCTAAAAGGAACACATCATTATATTTCTTTTATTTTATGGAGGCCGCCATATTTGAAGCTACGGAAGCATATTTATGTTTATCACGTGATTGACCGATATTGCGCGGTTTATAAGAATGGAAAATTACTGATGATTTAGAACAGCGAGGAAGGTTTTTTTTTTTTAAATGTCAAGTGTGAAGTACCTAAAACGAAATAATAAGAAAACCGAAAAACCAATAAATGGATAGAGACTCGTCAAAGAAATATGATTGTTCAACAACTAAATTGATTAATATTGCAATCCCTGACTTAGAGTTATTTATAACAGAAATTCTAAGACGTAGTCATGTGAACGCGATGAAAAAATAACGTTGTTCTAGAACACAGTTATTGAACGCAGTATTTCTAAAACATGACATAAGTTGCGGATGATAATTGTACTCTATGTGTCGGCTGAACAATGCTGAGTAAAACGATAATTATGGCACAATGGATTTCCATCAATCCACGTATTGACGTAATATGAAGTTATAAAAGTAGCTTCAGTAGGACCCCCTAAATCCGGTTTGTATGTGGAGTAGAATATTCTCGGCATGTCGCAAAACAGAATATCTGGAAAATGAATAAAGTTATGCTATGAAGCAAACATTCCAATTAGTAAGTCAAAAATAAAATTAAACGTCATCAAGCTCTGTATGTTAAATGTCAAGTTCTACATGGTGAATTCTGGCTCCTCTCATGGTCTGTGTAATGTTAAGTGCGATATTTAAAGCTGAACCATGACGACTAGTAAAAGGAAATAGATTTATCCTCATTTGCCATATTTCTTTTTGCTTGTCTAGTTTCTCAATCTTGTCTAGTTTCTCAAGCCCCTGACTTCTTCACGGTTCTAAGTATTTCACTGTACAGATCTTACTTATGTAGATGTATTCAACATTGTTGTCATTACTCAATTGTGATTAAATTATAAAGTGTATGCACTCTACCACATTTGGGGGAAAAGTAATATCGACTGCACAGGTCAATGCCTCCATTAAAAACAGAAACAAATGCATGTAAAACAAAGAAATAAAATGAAAAAAAAAACAAAACAGAACTAAGACAACCTCAGAAATGACAATCAGCCACAAGTTTCAGGTGTGCAGTCAGGTGTAATGAATGTGAAGGGTTTATATACCCCAGTGCTGATATCGGAGATAGAAAAAACTAATATGGCTTATGGCAATTCACAATTCGTGTTCAGGTTTATGTCACTTTATTCATTAATTTTTGGTATTTCATCATTACCCAGAAGAGACATCCTGCAGTGTGTGGATTTTGACACTTTTTAAAAATGAATAATTTACCTTTGGTAAACATTAAAGAGGTTTCTTTTGCAGGTGTTATTTCCATAAAAGGTTTTGATGCCACCCATAACAATGAATTCGGTTAACCTCTCTGAGGAGGCTGCCAAGCTTCTGGACTTCAGCCAGAAGCTGGACATCAACCTTTTGGACAATATAGTCACAATGATGTACACAGGCAATGGACCACAGGTAGAAAGACATTTTTGTAAACGAAAATTAATATTTTAAATGTTAATTGGTAATGTGTGGTGTTGCAAGCTAAATTTTAATCTTATTTCAGCAAAGAATGGCACAAGAAGTATTGACAACACTGAAAGAACATCCAGATTCTTGGACACGAGTGGACACAATTTTAGAATATTCTGTAAATCAACAGACCAAGTACTATGCCCTCCAAATCTTGGAAAATGTTATTAAAACAAGATGGAAAGTTTTGCCACGAGCACAGTGTGAAGGCAAGTCTGTCCATTTTAACCATTGTATTCAGATCTATTTTGATTTTGTTTCTAACTCGAGCAGTGATTGGGAAGGGCTTGCGCCACGCGCCATAGTTGCATTAAAGTGAAAATTGGTGCATTAAATCAACCATTGGTGGCGCCAAGGTGTGCATTCAAATTTTAGCAATGTTATTTGGAAATATATTGTGTACAACATTCTTGCTTCAGCTTGTATTAATTTCATTTTAATAAATGCAGTCATTTTAATACAAGTGAACAAATCTCATTGGTTAAATCCCGGCAAAAATTGCTTCCTGTTACGTGAATTGCTTCATTAAGGACATCAAAGGTACATTACCTCACTCATTTCCAATGTTTAATTGAAATTTTGATGCTATTGACCCAAAATACGAGAAAATTATTTTGTTTCCAGGTTCCTTTAAATGTGCTACACTGCATACGTAAAAAAAAATTTGGTTAATAAAGAAACATGTTTCCTTTCATATTTCACGTTTGTCATTTTGTTTTTTCTTAAAATGGCCCATCAGAATATAAAGATGGCCCATTCACTTTCAAAAACTTTGACAGTTGCGCCAAAATCCCTTTGACCTTTATGGCCTTCCCAATCACTGCTCAAGCCAGAAACTTTTGCCCTGAACTGTGTTTGCTTGCCTTGTCCTATGTTGTCTGCAATAAAAATTGTCTTTATATGTAGGTATAAAAAAATACATTGTGGGTTTAATCATCAAAACATCATCTGATGCTGCCTTATTGGAGAAAGAAAAAGTCTATGTTGGAAAACTCAACATGATCTTAGTGCAGGTACAGTATTTAATCAGGCTTTGTTTGATTTCAGATTTCTGGTTGAAGTAACACTTAAGTTTAATAAAATGTATTTCTGTTTTTCCCCTCTCAGATTTTGAAATATGAATGGCCTAGGAATTGGCCCTCGTTCATCAGTGACATTGTAGGAGCTAGTAAAACAAATGAATCTTTGTGTCAGAACAATTTGACAATTCTTAAACTGCTCAGGTAAGTAGACAAGATCTTATTCTGTTGATTGTATTGATACTTGTAATAATAAGTTTTAACTGAGTGATGTTATTTAGATAGTGCACTATTTTGTCAAGTTTTTCTCCCGCTTTTATTTCAGTGAAGAAGTCTTTGACTTCAGTAGTGGTCAGATGACACAGGCCAAAGCCAAGCATTTAAAGGACAGCATGTGCAGTGAATTTTCCTCTATCTTCCAGCTGTGCCAATTTGTCATGGTAAAGGCTCTAGTATATGGTTTAAATAAGCACATTTATTCAAGGCAGTATATTGTTTATATTAAAAATGACTATATGTAATCATTTATATTTATGTTCAACATGGTTATTCAAGGCAGTGTGGTATGCTGTTTGTATTTAACATAACCATGTAGATTTGATTTCTTCTGTAATAGTTGTATTATGCAGGGATTTATGATATTTGTGTATATATATATATCTCATAGTGTACATACATGTATGTTAGTTCCATGTTTTTACCACTGTATATCTGTGGGTATGTGGATGTTTGTACCCTTGAGTTCAGCCATGTTAATATTTTATGGTTTGTTGATTTTGTATTTTTGTTGTTGATTTTTTTGTATTATTTTGTTGTAGGACAACTCTCAGAATGCACCATTGGTTGGGTCTACTTTGGAGACACTTTTGCGATTCCTAAACTGGATTCCACTTGGTTATATTTTTGAGACAAAGTTGATCACCACACTCATCTACAAGGTTCTATGAAGTTCTATATATAGGTTTTATCATGCTAGATGTTTTATGAAAAAAAGGAATTTATTTTCTTATTGGTTGAAATACATTAAATTTTGTCCAGTTAAATCAAAATGTTCTTTACTCAGTGGGAATCTATGAACAACTGTCTAATATAGAATTTAAAACTTTTTTTTTCTTACAGTTTTTGAATGTTCCATTATTCAGAAATATTACCCTTAAGTGCTTAACAGAAATAGGTGAGTTACTTAAATGTAAATTCACAAGTATGTGTAGTTTGAGTTTGATATTGACAGTTTCCTTTTTAGATAATCTACTTGTGAAAAATCAGTACAAGATATTTAGCTCAGTAATATGTTTAGGTGGTTTAGCATATTTGCATTGTAGTGGGAATATCTCTAAGAGTTACCTGAGAAGGACAATGTTAGGATTTTTTCAATCATCTTAATTTCTTGTTTTAGCTGCCGTCTGTGTTCAACAATATGATGAGCAATTTGTTCACCTGTTCAACCTCACAATGACTCAATTGAAACAGGTACAGAGATTTGTAATCAAAAGCAGTTTGAGAAATCTTGCATGATAAGATGTGTAAAAAAAAATGTTGATTAGTTTAGCTTGGTTTTGCAATTGCCATTGAATGAACAAGTCTTAATTGCAGATGCTGCCTCTAGACACAAATTTGAAGGAGGCCTATCAGAAAGGAACAGATGATGAACAAAAGTTTATTCAGAACCTGAGTCTGTTTCTTTGTACATACCTGAAAGAACATGGACAACTGATTGAGAGAAAACAAGAGTTACACAGTGTACTACTGGAGGTAAGGGGTTTATTGACTAGATACTATTGGTATAGGATTGAATGGAGGTTTTAGACTTGAAAAGGGGTTTAACAAGTTCCTTGATTTTGGCAGGCCCTTAATTACCTTATACTAATATCAGAAGTGGAGGAAGTGGAAATCTTTAAAATTGCTTTGGAATACTGGAACACACTGGCTGCTGATCTGTACAGAGAGAGTCCATTTTCTTCCAACACATCACCTCTGCTTATAGGAAAACCCCACCACAATGATGTGCCTGCCCGGAGACAGCTCTATACACAAGTTTTATCAAGGGTTGGTATTGGTGTGCAAATTAAGGAGTGTTAGATTCTGAATTTATTTCTTTTTGTTTGAATTTACTTTGCATTTGATTTTGTATTACTAGTAGGTTAAATTTAATTTTAACAGGTCCGACGGGTCATGATTTCAAGAATGGCTAAGCCAGAGGAAGTCCTTATTGTGGAGAATGAGCAGGGAGAGGTTGTAAGGGAATTTCTCAAAGATACAGACTCCATCAATCTGTACAAAAACATGAGAGAAACACTAGGTAAGATTCTAATCAATAAAGTTACCACAAAGAAAGCTGCCCATTTCCTGTTCAGTTTACTGATTTCTTGATTTTCTTTTTAGTGTATCTTACTCACTTGGATTACAATGACACAGAGTCTATCATGACAGAAAAACTTCACCATCAGGTAGACGGTACAGAGTGGTCTTGGAAGAACCTGAATACGGTGAGTAGGAAATGATATTGTTCATTGTCAAACTGAGAAAGAAGCAGTATGTAACATGAATAAAATACATAAATTAATGTTTTAGAATCCTCTTCTGTTGACATGTCCTCAAAACTATTGAGAAATACATGATGATAGTTAAGAACAAGTGATTTGTCTGTTTCAGTTGTGCTGGGCCATAGGATCCATTAGTGGAGCCATGCATGAAGATGACGAAAAAAGGTTTCTAGTAACGGTCATCAAGGTAAGAAATTATCTGATGTTACTTTAAGCATAATTTTTTGGCATTCATAGTTTTAATATTGCGGAGATTTTACAGGATCTTTTGGTAAGAATAATGTGAAAATATATTTGTAAAAATAAACAGGACCTGTTAGGGTTGTGTGAACAAAAGAGAGGAAAAGACAACAAAGCTATTGTAGCCTCCAACATTATGTACGTGGTGGGACAATATCCTCGCTTCCTAAGGGCACACTGGAGGTTCCTCAAAACAGTCGTCAACAAACTCTTCGAGTTCATGCATGGTGAGTTGATTAGACGGTTTTGTTGGTAAGTCTGAATGATATAGAGAAATTTCTGATCCTTTGAAATGTGAAATTCGTTTAAAGTACAGTGGAGTCTAATTATTATGTTCATAGTTTAATACATTAGAACACTTGCATTAGAAAATTCAAAGCACAAAACCATTTCTTAACAAATTTGTATAAAATATTAAGGTTAATATTCAGGGCTCAACATCAATGTTTGCACTATTGTCCATGTCCAGTTCAATTTGTGATTGATCGCCAGACACACTTGTCATTAAATTTTGTTGCTTCGAAAGTAACCCTATTCAATATATAGTCATATAAAAATTTCGTGTGGGATTTAATTTTGTTGATAATTGTTAACAATGAAATAAACATAATTAATCCCCAACAAATAATTATGCTTTGCAGTACATATTTACATGTAGAGAGCTACGTTATTTGTCAAGTATAACGAAAATACAAGATTACAAGAAGTAAACAAGCTTTATGTTTTTTCCTCTCAAAGAAACCCACGATGGCGTACAAGATATGGCATGTGATACCTTCATTAAGATCGCCCAGAAGTGCAGGAGACATTTTGTTCAAGTCCAGGTTGGAGAGGTGATGCCATTCATAGAGGAAATTCTAAATGGAATTAACACAATCATCTGTGATCTACAGCCACAACAGGTAAGGAATCTAATGAGAAATGGTCAACTTTGGGTTTCTATGAGGCTGTATAGATCACATGTATGTTATCTTTTAAGAAGATGTCAAGATTTGTGTGATTAGTTGGAAGTTTCCATTGACTCAGCCACTGCAACATTTAGGGCTAAAATTTTACTTTGAAATTGACCTTTGATACATGTACACACTACTCTAACTTATTCAATTAGAATTAGTTACTTGTCACTTTTTATACACCCGTAGTGGTGGACCAGTCAGTTTCGTAACTAATTAAACTTTAGATACATGTATGTACTCGTATGTACATGTTTCAGTTTTACAGGAGTGTTCGTTGTTTTCCCTAAGAACCGACTACCGGCCAAATTGATCACTTCAGTCGATAAAAATGTTGGTTAGAAATCAAAAATTTGAAAAATAGTTGATGTAAGGTCCACAGAGATTTTGTTCATAAACCTCAACCCTAGCCTGTTACAATTGATCTCTTATCGCTTACTTTGGAATAAAGGGAAAATACCAAGTGTTAGTAATTTCATAGAAGAAATGATTTATAACAAGCAAGTGTCAGTACCAACCAATGATTTTTATTCTTAGGTGCACACATTCTATGAAGCAGTGGGGATGATGATCAGTGCTCAGAATGACCAGGTAGCCCAGGAACATTTGATAGAGCGATACCTCTTGTTACCAAACCAAGTGTGGGATGGAATTATAAACCAGGCAACACAAAACGTGGAAGTTCTCAAGGACCCTGATGCTGTTAAACAACTAGGAAACATTCTCAAAACAAATGTTAGAGCATGCAAGGCACTAGGCCATCCTTATGTGGTGCAGGTTAGTGTGAAATTAAAAAAAAAAAAAAAAAAACGATTCGTCTCCTGAATATATGCTTCATCAAATTGACAACAATGCGTTAAACCATTCAATGCTGAAGTGTTCTGCTTGTTGTTACAGTTAGGAAGAATTTATCTGGACATGTTGAATGTATACAAAGTGATGAGTGAGAACATTAGTAGTGCAATAGCAACAAATGGGGAGACTGTGACAAAACAGCCACTGATACGCAGCATGAGAACGGTGAAGAAAGAGACACTGAAGCTTATATCTGGCTGGGTCAGTCGCTCAAATGATCCTCAGATGGTGAGTACTGAATGTTGATCATGTTCTCAATAATGATTGAATACAATCATTGTACTCAAAGGATTGCATTTGCAGATGAAAAAATCTTTAAAACTCTCTTCTCAAGCTGCTGAAGAACAAAGTGACTTGTGTGAGCGTTGTGGCCCATGGGCCTCTTGTTTGAAAATTCTTATTACCAGATACTCTCCAGTGTCCACAGATAAATTTTTATTGAATAAAACAAGTGAGAGAATTAACATTTCATGGATTTGCTTTGTTTAGGTGGCAGAAAATTTCATCCCACCGCTTCTAGATGCAGTACTACTAGACTATCAGAGAAACGTTTCTGCAGCAAGGGAACCCGAGGTCCTCAGCACCATGGCAACCATTGTCAACAGATTAGAGGTAGTATATGTACTTCTTTCCATCTTTCATTGGAATGTTGATTAAGTCACCAAAGTTATGAATCAATAAAGAAAAACACATCTAAATGAATGAACATATTTCCTCCAACATTTTTATATCTTAGATATGAGTTTGAGTGGGATGTTCACAGTTGTCATTTGTTTGTTCAGAAATGCCAACCCTTACGATTTTGGTGCAAGGCTTACAGATTGAGCATCTAAAATAAGCCTTAGATGTCTCTATTTATTCTTCCCATTTCAGTTTTTCTCAGTTGAAAGTTTGAAATACTGAGTTTTCAGAGCTGTTCACCTTCAGTTTTCACTATTAGAAGTCATAGTCCTTACAGCACTTGCTTGTATTGTCATTGTCTCTTTCCACTCAAACTTGCTATCTAAATCATTTTTAAGTTCACAAGGTGGAAAATTCATTTACAAATAAATTGCTCATTTTCTGTTTGTTATCCCTTCATTTTTTTTTTTTTTTGTCTTATCTTATTACAAGTTTAGACTGATGCAAGAAAGATGTTTCATATTTGGTGAAGCTGATTTTAAAGATAAGAGATCAGTTGTGCAAATTTATACTTTAGATAGTAATTGTTTCCTCAGGGTCAAAACTGCAGATTTGCATTTTCTATTGATATGGGGGCACCAAGTTCTGCAGATTTTCATGCAATACCCAGATTTCATAAAAATTGGAATTAAGTCCTTTGGACCTGTTCGTTTTGATTGCAGTTAAATGTGCAAAGCAGTTTGCATGATGTTCACATTGTAACACTGTAGTTATACCCAATAATCAATAGAAAGAAAAGGTTGGGGAGGGGGAGCTATGTCTACAATATATTTAGGTTTCAATTCAAATAAAACTCTTAATACCATAATGGGACATCACTTTTGAAATGAATACATCAGGTATAACAGGATAAAATGGGGAAAAAATGAACTAGTATTATTTTTATTTTGAATGATGTAGGGAATTGAGTAGTTGAGAACATTTATTTGTATATCTATAAATTTTGTTTTCTTTAAAGGGCCACATCACTAAGGATATCCCACAGATATTTGATGCTGTGTTTGAATGTACACTAGAAATGATCAATAAAGATTTTGAAGATTTCCCAGAACACCGAACAAACTTTTTCTTGCTGTTACAAAGTGTTACTTCACATTGTTTTGAAGGTTAGTTATGTACAGTGCTGAGAATTGTCATTAATTATAGTGTGAAGAATTAAACAGTTAATTAAATAAGATTTAGAGTAACTTGAGCATTGTTGGAATTATTTTGAATGTTAAATGTTTTTGTACATATATTTTGAAATTTTGTTTACATGTATTTCAGCTTTCCTTAACATCCCCCCAGAACAGTTTAAATTGGTATTAGATTCTGTGATATGGGCTTTCAAACATACAATGAGGAATGTGGCAGATACTGGCCTGGACATTTTATACACGTTGTTACAAAATGTGGCAAACCATGATGAAGCAGCACAGAGCTTTTATCAGACATATTTTACGGACATTTTACAGCATGTGTTTTCTGTTGTGACGGATAGTTCTCACACTGCAGGTACAATCAGAATTCAGTATCCAATAGGTTTAATGGTTAAGAGTCTTAAAATTGAAAACATGTACATTTATTTTGAGAGCTTTATTACATGTATTGACAATTTCAATTAAAATCATCTGAAGTATGATTGGATTCAGTGACTTGATTGTCTTGCAGGATTGACAATACAGGCTTCAATCCTGGCATACATGTTCACTCTGTTAGAGAATGGAAAGATCACTGTGACCCTTGCCCCCACTTCAGGACCTCCCATGCAGAATGTACCCTACATCCAACAGTTTCTCATGAATCTCCTTAAATCTGCATTCCCTCATCTTAATGAGTAAGTTCTCAAAACACTCTCAGTAAATAAATGAGCATAGAATAAGAAGTTACGTAGAGTTTAAAATAATGATGTTGATTTTTATTTACAGCCCCCAGATTAAAATATTCATTGAAGGTCTGTTTAGCTTTGACCAAGACATTGCAGCATTCAAGGAGCACCTAAGGGACTTTTTAGTACAGATCAGGGTAAGAATTGGCTGATTTCAATATAATTCAAAAACTTTTCTGACTCTGCTGTTTCTAGATGAGTGTCAAATTTTGGGAATCCTTTTGTAGGAGTTTGCTGGTGAAGACAACCAAGACCTGTTCCTGGAAGAGAGAGAGATGGCCATCAAGCAAGCTCAGGAGGAGAAACGTAAAATTCAGATGTCTGTGCCAGGAATCTTGGGACCTCATGAAATTCAAGAGGACATGCAAGACTAATTTATTCAGTGCTTCCTCTGTGTTTGTGTGCAAGAAGTTCCAATTTGTATGAAAAATTCAAAAGAAAAATGCACCTAAAACATATTCTCAGTATAGTTCAATGTGGTGCAAGCATGTTCCCATGAGGCCTTATAGATGGGAAGAAGGTATTTGGCAGCATTTAGGTACCTGTCACTTAAATACAATCATGGCAGTATTTGTGAGCTCGATTTTTGTCAGTGGGAGGAGAAAGAAGATTCCTGCTTTGTGACACAACCTGAACTTGTTCAATGTGATGCTACATTTTTATTCTCAGTGTCTGACAGTGGAAGAGCTACATAATTTTCCAGAAATGTTTGAGAGAAATGAAATTGTAACCAGAGGTCTGGGTGTATTTATCTCCCAAAACAAAACAGTGTGCTTCTATACCTTAATTTGATTTACAATATTTGTATGGTTGAACAATGATTTTTTTTTTTGTTGACTGGTAAGGTAAATACTACTAAACGTAACTTTTTTAGAATAGTGCATTCAAAGTGCAATAATGATTCGTATCATAGGTATCTCATTCTTTCTTTGAGAAAATTGTATTCAAATCTTTTTAAACAGGTTCAGCATAGCATTGAAAGCAGTTTCATGATGTCATAGTTTGTGAAAAAAAAAATGAGCCCAACATACAGAAAATTTTAACAAGCAGAGTTTAAGATGTTTGTTTAGTCTTCTCAAGCCTGCTGTATTTGTGACTTGATTACAGTTATTCCATGCCTTTGTTAACATTCTTTTTGTAATATATACATGTATACTTATTTTGGACTGGGCTGAAAGCTTGTCTAACATATCTTGTGAAATGTTCATCTTTGTCATATTGCAACTTGCGATAAGTACATGTATAAATGCTAATTTAATGTTTCATATTTATTGTTCAGTCCTTTCCATGGCATTTCTTCTCATGAGTGAATTTGTTGTACCTGTGCTGAGAAATCAAATAAATATATAATATTAGTATAGTGTATTATTATGGTAAATGAAAAGTTGCACATTGTCTTTTTTATGAAACATTAGCAAATTATTGTAAATTTCATGTCATTTATTGAATGTTCAATTCATGAAACAGGGGTTTTTCGTGTGTATGTGTTCATCATACGTCAATTTCTCATGTAAGATCTGCCTCAATATTAGTCTAAAAATCTCTTAAAGTACCGGTTATAAAAATAAGTCAATTTGAGCACTGTCTAAAACAATAATATGAATACACTTCATTAACATTGTTTTGCTAGAACAATGAAAAGCTGGATATGCAGTAAACTTTGTATCAAAGTGAATTGCTGTATAATTTTTTTTTCTTTGGTGCTTCTGTGAGTGTGTGTATAATAGTTAATATTCTTTGTTACTCAGCTAATATCAAGTGTGATCCAGATCCTCTGTTATACATAGTTAATCATGCATTGTTTTCAGATAGAAAAAAAGACAAGAAAAGTTTAATAGAAATTAAATAAATAATGCTGTGTTTGTTTTATATTATGTTAAGGATTAAAGTATTGAAGGTATGCTTCAAGGTCTTCAAGGCAAAACGTAGTCCAGTCAGTACCGTCATCCTTATTTGTCTTGATAGGCAGTGTTCAGTGAATTTCAAAGATGACAAGTTTGCATGTAGTTTTATTTTGGTCAAATATTTTTTATATGCTCATGTCCTCATTTTTTTATTTATTGTGAATTACAGTGTATGTACTTTGAGAAAAATTAATTCCAGTTGACTTCACAGGTGTGGCATACTTATGATACATACACTTGGCCTCCTTTGCCAGGGTGCAATAGTCCATGACAATGACCAAACTACTGGTATATGGAATTGTTAAATCCAAAAAATAGTTTCAATACTATCACAATATATTTGTATAATAGTTTATAACCTTGCCTTAAAGATCATCGAATCTTGTCCTTGAATCTTGGAGGCTCAAATTTTGTTGTCACTATGACTACAGTTTGAATTTTATGGCTATTCATTTTGTTACATATTTGATACCAAGAGGCATAGGATTATCAAGGGTGAGTTGATGCAATCTGGGGCCTTGAAGAGTGTAAACTCCAACACTGGATTACAGTTGAATTTGCACACCTTCAGTTCAAAGATGAACTGACTGACATTTTCAATATTAACTATACCTGTACGAACAATATTAACTATACTCATTGTTTTCTCATTACTGCTAAAGCATTAAAGGGGCAAAAGGAGCATAGGAAAGTTTGGTGATTTGATTGGTAAAATGTACTGAAGTTTCTCGGTACAGTAAAATGCATTTATAATACCAGAGACAATTTCCATTCATTGTAAACGTTAATCGTTAAATCGGTCAAGGTCATGATGCATTTTAAAACTACAGGGTATGACTATAACAGTAAAATTGGAGTTGCATTGGAAGTATTATGGTAGGTCATTTGGGTCTGAACCACAATTTTAAAAAAGGAGACGGGTGAAAAGGTATGCAAAATGCCTATAGCTTCAATTGAAGGTCATATTTAATTTTGTGAATTTAGTATTTAATTTAAAAGTTCTTGTCATTGATAAGTATGAAATTATGCCAAAACTTCTCTGCTGAAAATTCTTTCAGTAAAAAAATCATTTTATTTTTCAAAACAGGTGATATTCTTGGGGTTTGAACCCAAGCAACAAAAACCATGAGTATCACTTTTCCCTTTGTGAATAACTATACACTATACCACTCATAACAAACATTGGCATTTATATGATCCTTGACTGAATTGATTTCAAGTATTTCTCAGAAAGATACAAATGTGTCATGAGTGTATTTTTAAAGCATAGTGGAGGTATGTGCCATGTTTTAGCAGAAGAATGGGTATTTTAAGCATACTTCAAGTATAATCTTTCAATTTAATGGAGCAAAGACACATGGTAATTTTGTGTAGTATGAAGAATTGATCATTTTTGCCCGCTTTGGTCCATATTTCATAGACAAACAATTTCAAAATTTGTGAGATTGTTGCTGTTTGTGGAAAATTTATGTTGAATAAAGTATACCTTATTGTTAATTGAAATATCAAAGAAAATGTCAAAATCGAGATTAAATTTTTATGCCGATTGATTGTTGAACTACAGGCATTTTGCTTGCCTTGTTCGCCCATCTTCTTTCATATTTTTAGCTCACCTGAGCTGGAAGCTCAAATGAACTTTTCTGCTCACATTTTGTCCATCAATCTGACTTTTCACATTTTCAACTTCTATTCATGAATATCTGCGTCAATTTCAACTATACTTGCCACAAATCATCCTTAGGTTAGGGGAAATCAAGTTTCTTCAAATGAAGGGCCACTCCCTTTTTTAGGAGGAGATGTGACTTCTTTTAAAAATCTGATGAAGAAACACTGAGCCAGAAATCTTGAAACTTATATGAAAGGTTCATTTCATAGTGTACATTCAAATTTGTTCAAATCATGAACCCTGGGGTAAGGTGGGGGCACAAGAGGTGATCAAAATTTTGCTTAGGAATATATACAAAAAAATCTTTAAAAATCTCCTTCTCAAGAACCACTGGGTCAAAACGTTAAATTAAAGTTATTTTAATGTAAAATTAATGTTAAGTGTTAAATTATTGTTAGTTCACACTTATTTAACATTAAAATGCATAAAAATTATGTGTATGTATTTTGAATTTTCCTGACTATTCTTCCAGAAAACTTTATGTAATTGCTCCATAGCAGTAGCTTCAATGATTAACTACATTGTACATATACTCATCATTGTTCCTCTAAATTTAAGCTACCTCAGAAGCTCACTTAACAATTTTGCACTTTTCCTTCATCAAGCACTGCATGTAGCATTTTTAGCTTATCTTGCATGTTGACTTCATCCAAGGTGTCACACTTTTTTTTTCAATTTGAATATATCAAACTGGATTCCATTAGCTCTTTCAACTAAATATTCAGATTTATGCCCCTAACATTCTGAGCATTGCCTCTAATTTCAAACTTTTGAAATAAAAGAGAAAACATCATTCAAAATATGAATGCTTTTAATCAGGCATCTTCAATATAATGCTATCAATCTTCTTTCTTTTTCCAACCTGAAAAAGAAAAGTGGCAAATACATGTATTATCACAATTAATTGAAAAACAAAATACTTTAAAACATAGGCAACTCATTACAACCTACAAGGATGGTTCACCGAAATATATTGTAAATCAAAAGCAAGCATTATTTTAGAGAAATATGCCCCCTTCTGGCAATATTGAAAAGGATCAATTACTTTTAAATTTGAAATTTCTGTTATGATACCAAAAAAAGATCTACTTATTAAGGATAACAGGAAACAAAGATTGATCTGTATCTAATCTCAGATTCATAAACAGGTAAATTCCTTTTCAGGGGCTACCAGTAAACAAAGTTTGATGTCTCAAGCAAATGGTACACAAGATATTGAGCAGACAGTTAATGCTTACCTTCAGAGAATTTGACCTTTGACCCTGTGACCTCAAATTTGATAGTCATTTACTCATTAGGGGGTGTCAGTATGTCAAGTTAGTTGTTTGTCAAGCAAAGGGTTCTTTGAACTTCTATCTCAAAATATTGATTGAATTTTATATTTACAATAGTTTGACCCTTAACCTCATGCCATCAAAATCAATATGAATCATCTCATTGGGGTACCAGTGTACAATTTTTTTTTGTCAAGCAAATGGTTTTTAAGATATTAAACAGACAATATTTTCCTATGTCTAGAAAAAATTGACCTTGACATGTTAACCTCGTGACCTCAAAAACAAAGAGTTTCTTCAAAATAGGTAGAGACCATCTACCTCCTAACACAAACCTGTTTTATTTCTGTCAACTTAAAGTTTCTCAAGATATTTGGACATTGTCTTCCTATACTAGGGTTTGATATTGTTGATCAGTCTCTACTGACAGACTGACACTGAGGTGCAAACCGATATGCCTTTTTCAAAGTGGGTGGGGTCATACAAAGTCATGACTAAGAATTATGACATAATTGGTCACAAGCAATATTCATGCCAAGTAAGACTCATTGATGCTTCTCTGGTACAAATTAATTATTAATATTCATTAATATTTTTAACCAATCAAAATATTCAGTGGGCAGAGTGTTCAAGGAATCTCAAGTCTGTGACGTAATGTTGTTAGCAATGTAACTATATATGACATTTCGACATGCGATGTCAATCATACTGGAATTATACTAAATGATGAGCATGATAATTCTTTAAGATATCTGTGAAATTATTTTGTTTTTAGTGCACCTGAGCTGAAAGCTCAAGTGAGCTTTTCTGATCACATTTTGTCCGTCGTCCATCTGTCTAGCTGTCCATCCGTCTGTACACTTTCACATTTTCAACTTCTCTTCCAGAACCACTGGGCCAATTTCAACCAAACTTGCCACAAAGTATCCTTTGGGGAAGCGGATTCAAGTTTGTTCAAATGAAGGGCCACACCTTCTTTCAAGGGGAGATAATTAAGAATTAGTGAAAATTTGGTGGTATCTTTTAAAAATCTTCTTCTCAAGAACCACAGAGCCAAAAAAAGTTGAAACATATATGAAACCTTTTTTACATAGTGTAGATTCAAATTTGTTCAAATCATGACCCCCGGGGATGGGGTGGGGCCACAATGGGAGATCAAGTTTTACATAGGAATTTATATGAAAACATCTTCAAAAATCTTCTTCTCAAGAATAGCAAAGTCATCATTAGTCATATTGATATGGAAGCATTCTCAGATAGTGTAGATTCAAGTTTGTTCAAATCATGACCCAGGGATTAGGATGGGACCACAACGGGGGATCAAAATTTACATAGGAATATATAGGGAAAAAATCTTCATCTCTAGAACAGCTAAGCCTTAATTAGTCATATTAATATGGAAACATCCTCAGGTAGTGTACATTCAAAGTTGTTCAAATCATGACCACCTGGGGTAGGGTGGAGCCACAATGGGGGATCAAAGCTTTACATAGGAATATGTAGGAAATATCTTCAGAAAACCTAGACTTTACAATTATATTACATACAGAACAACACAAGTGTTGTGTAACCACAGTTTCAAATCCATTCTCCATAAATATTGCTTGAGAGATTTTAATCATTTGTGGAAATGCTAATCATGGGACACAGTTAATAATCTGTGATAAAACTCTGTAATATACTCTTTGCTTTGATTCCTCTTTAAGCTGATGAATGTATGTAAAATAAATGAACAAAGTTCCATGTAAACATAAACCTCTTTTTGATAAATATGAATTTTCTTGATACTAGCCTGACTAACACTTTTATTAAATACATGCAATATTAATCCTCTAAACTACATTAAGTATCCTTCTATTAATTATTACTAGAACTTTAAATATTTACACTAGAAAAACCTTTCTTTTTTACAACTGAATTAAATATGCATAGATATTTGTTCAATTTATTCTGTCTCTTTCTAAAATATTCACACTTAACTAACAAAAAGCTACATGATATATATATAT